ATTTAAAAGCAAAAGGATTGTAATATCTTATTTAAACGACATATAGTTTCAAGTTATAAATATGGATAAATTTGCCCTAAAATGAATAATTCGTTTCGGATCCGTCTTTAAATAACATTTTAGTATATAAATGATAATTGCACTTTTCTGTGATTAGCCCTCGGTCTGGTACGCCGTCTTGCAAAAATGACTAGCAACGGCCACGGCCATGTGGTCAGTCTTATATCCATACCGGGTCTCTCCAACATTTCTTCAGGACCCTAGCGAAGGGGGTCGCAGACGGGTCGGGCGCGGAGGTTGTCATGGCGCCCGTATTTCAAATTTCTGGTGCAGACGTGTTCAATGTGTAATTAATGTATGAAAAAAACAAAATTACCCGAATTAGTGCTAATCTGGTAGAGCAACAAAATACCTGCTGCGTGGGTTCCCGCGAGTGTTTTATATATGTGAGCGACTTTTATCCCTAGGTACAGTTAAGTAGGCCTACATAGTGATATCTGATGGCACTGCCCAAAGCTAAAGTATGAATCCTGGATAGAGGGAGAATCACTAGCAACGTTCTTTATATCCCTTTAAGGATTACTCCCCGGAGGCCGAAACCGGAAAATATTTATTCCACCTGCAAGACGGGCGATATTGCTCTAATGAAGAAGTGTACCCCCAACGAGCACCCAGTTTATTGCTTTAGACATCTGTGTAAATGTGCGTCAATCGCTTCCATTATCTCTGGATAGAGAAACTAACGATATTTATTCAATTAATCACTGTCTTTTTATTTATGAGGAAATAACTATCTCTATGGCTTCAAGCCCACAAAAAAATTTTTTCTCATGAAATTTCCGAGCACCCTAATTATGTTCGACCACACAAATTTTGAATTTTTATGTAAATAAGATATTTTGTTTTTATTTATTTTCGATCAGATTCACCAGAGAGAGATTGTTGAGCGATTAAAAAACATGTTTGGCCACATGTTAAGCACAAATAGTGTACCGCAACAAGTGCCGCCAGAGCGACACGCGCTCAACTGTACGTGGCGGGGTGTACTGTGAGCAGGTTATTCTTTTCTGATAAAACTTTCACTGGCCAACCGAACTCAAGTGCGCCCCTCCTGCCACTGCGTTCGCGCACCGAGCATTATGATTATCACTTACTAATACAGGTGCTGATCAAAATCTATTATAGGCTTTGCTATACTAGTGGTTAGTACACGGTAATAAAATGACAGCTGTGTGTTAACTTTTTTAACAACCTATGACTTTGCTTATTGATTTATCAGGTGTTATTCCTGAATATATGCGCTTTCGATCCGCTGCGAGTTCGTAGTCGGTGGTGGTGGGGAGAGGGTGGGGAAGGGTGGGAGGGGGAAAAGACGAGGAGAGGGGAGCGGGTTTGGGGGATTAGGGGCGGGTAGAGGGGCCTCTAAATAGCAAAAGCAGTTCAGTCCTTTGTATATCACTCCAGTCAACAAGTTCTATGTTTTAACCCTCCTCTTTGGAGGTGGTCAAACGGTTATCAGACAAACCTTACTCTTCGCTAGAACCGTACCTCTTAGTTTTGTGCTCCTCCCGGCTAACCCACGTCAGACCAGGTTTAAAGTGGATTTCATTGGTCCTTTCAAATAATTCTTAGTGATAATAAAACGGATTTAGAGTCAGGCGCTGAACCAAAAAAAATGTTTTTGCACTCGGTCCGTTTAGACCATGACTTCAGAAATATGTCTGATGATCTGACCTTTCCCCCACTTGCCCTTTTACCTTTTGTCCTCCTTATTTCGCGCTTGTGATCTGCGGTTTCCTTCTCCATCCTCACTTACTTACATCGAATATTAATGAAAGAGCGTTTTAAGGTCGAGAGCCGGTTGAAGGTATTCCCTTCCTTGTGTGCGTCGCCAATTCCGTATTGTCCTCCTATAGGGGGAAAATATTCTCCCTCTATTGACAACAGCTTGACCTCACCCACTTTGCCCCATTGGACCCGCCATGTAATTCGATTCCCGATGCATATCCTCTCGCTTTCATCAGAAGGAAATTATGAATTGTTCTCCCTTTTGTGCGAAGAAGAAAATATTTTATCTCCCCTGCAAATTATTCCAATTCGAGAAATTTTTTTAGAAGTCGTGGAAGCTCTTGATGTATTCATTTATTCCAAGTAGTTCAAACTGCGGCGTTTTTCTATTTTTCCACATAGTATGCATTTATCGCCGTGAGGCTCGGGACACGCATCGGGCTTGTTGCTGTGCTCGTCATATCTAATAAACCAGACTGGTAAGAACCAGTCTATTTCGATACTTGAACAGTTGATGTGATGAAATTACCCTCTATTATAGCTCTTTAATTGTATAAGATATGCTAGTGTGCAGCCATACTGCGACAGATCAAAATATGAGTAAATCGTCCTGTTGTTGTATTTTGTGAATGATTATGATTATTTCCCCTTGTTCCATATTTTAACAGATAGACTATTTAAAACTAATCGATCCACCAATATTTCGCACACGCTCAAGCGTAAATTGCTAATAATGAGAATAGTAACGCCTGTTCCGAGAAGTGGATTGGAAAGTTGGCGACCGTTAAAAGTTAGAATTAAACGTGGCAGAAAATTTTACCGAGGAGACCAATGGCGATCTATGTTGTGCAGCTTGACTCCAGCATCTGGTTTTAGGTGGTTCATTGTACCCACGCCGCGTAACTTCGGCTCATTCCTGAACAGACGATCACAATCAATCATAATCTGTTTTGTTTAAATACAATGGAAAAGTGTATGTTATGTTTAAATAGTGCTCGAAATCTCATATGAATCACGTCCGTTTCTCCCTGGCTCATTCAAATTTCAAATTGCCTCATTGGTTAAATTTAGCGTGTAAGCCTTCCTATATAATATTGGCTCGCTACACTAAATGTTTGGATTCTTTGAATACAGATTATATAAAAGTCAATGTTGGCATGGGCAATTCATCCTTGAGTGTGTCTTCTGTTGTAGCGGTGGGTGTCTAGAACCGATTGATTAACCCATCGTTGAAAACTGGTTTGACGTCAGAGCACAGCGAGCCATTGGTCAGGCACGTTTTTTCAACGATTTAACATTTACAAGCGTTTTGTTTCAATTGGCATCACTAGCAGATTGTACATGAATGTAACATGGAATACAGTAATGACAGCTGTAGCAGAAGTGGATTGGTTTTTCGGGCTTTCCCGGACGGCTGGAGGATAATGGGCGTAATTAAATTTCTGGGCTTCAGGTAAATTTTCGTCTTAGTGACGGTCTTAGAAGCGGAGCACCACAGAGTCACCGCAGTAGACGTTAGATGAGCGCTGTCGCTATGCGGCACTTGTTTTATATTGTCTAAGAGGCTTCCCAGGTACCCCCTGTGGTGTTCGCTGGTACCCCTATGGGGTACTAGTACCCCCGGTTGGGAACCAAGGGACTACAGGAACCAGAAGAAAACAGGTAGTACAAATAATGAGAACACAACTTGACAAAAATGGAGACACAAAATTGGAACATACAATGGGAGTACAATGGGAGTAGGCGAAATGGGAATATTGCCGATTCTGAGAGTAGACAAAATGGGACGTAGGCAAAATGGGTGTAGGCCAACTGAGATGTTACCCATCAAATACATCATTGAACCATGGCGTTTAGTATTGATTAATATGCTCAGGACGCCTGTCTCATCTCTCTCATCTTCTCACTCCCTTTCTGTTGCTGTGCTCATCCATTTCTATGCATGTAATGTTATCATAGTAATTAACTAACTTGATAAATATGTGAAACCGTCTTTACAGTAACTTTCAGTTTCAGTTTCATCAGTGCAAAACTAGTACTACATTTATTGGTGTGAAGAGCTCATAACTTGCATTTGTTTCAATCTAGTTTCAAGACCTATAGTCATTCGTGAACTCCTACAATGTATCCAAATAAATCCAGTATTATTCCGCTTCATACTTGATGCTCTCTCGGCTCACAATTGTATGCAGCCACAGCACATACACAAATTTTGCATGCAGCTTAACCTGTTAACACACTGACATATACCAACCACGTGTTTGTTCATTCATGGTGCTATATGCGTGCAATTTCTGTTTTAATTTTTGATCACGTCATAGTTATAATGCAGGGGTAGAAATTAACTTTTGAACACGGGAGTCGAATGGACTCCCTACGCTCAAAAAGAGGGAGTCCGCAGTCTGAAGTTCAAAACTAAAGATATTAACAATAACACACGTGCTTATTTTTAAGATTCATGCAGTTGCACGTCTGCCATATTTTTTTTGGACATTGGCTGAAAAAATACGGTAATTCCGCGAGGTCGTGCTCCGGAACGAACTAGCTAGTACATCTGGCAGAATTTTCAGGGAGTCACACGGACTCCTGCATATGTCAAATCAGGGAGTCCGACAGTAAATCGGGAACTATTTGACTCCGGACTCACGTTAATTTAGCACCCTGTAATGGTTACTTCATGGTGCTGCCTATAGTAGCTGCTGGCACTGTTTCAAAAATTTGCCTCTCCTATCACCGCTACATAAGCTATACATATCGGCGTGAAAGCGATATGTTAGTCTCTTTAACATTGGCACATTTTTAAAACAGTGTCCACGAATTGAGTTTATAATTCTCTACATTCTCATTACATATTCTCAATGAAGATTGAAGAAAGTAGTTCTGACTGACATTAAAACCTATTCCTACTTTATTTTCCCAGCTTACCTGAAATTCCGGATGATACACCAGAGACCAACCCACTCATGCGAGTGGATGGCTACCCAGCATATAAATCTATCGATGTGAAGAAGCATGCTGTTACAGGAATCGCAAAACGAGTAATTGAATTTGAATCAGGAATAAGTAGATTGGAGGAGAAGCTCTCAGGTATAATCAGTTCATTTAAAATGTCAAATTATTTATTCAAATCTATGTATTCTTAACTATTCTTTTCATTTTAGCTCACCTTGACATCGTCAAGCTGAGCTATTGCCATGGGTCGTCGTCCGCCGTACGTCCGTCCGTCCGTTCGTCAACATTTGGCTTCGGTCAACGATAACTCAGGAACCGTTTGACCCACATGTTTGAAATTGGGTGTAGTTGTTACTGCTATGCTCCCATATTAAACGTCCTATTTTGGAGCACGCCAGTCGGCGTACTTTCGAGCCGCGTCGATTTTTTTGGCAAAAATGGGAATTGCCATTAGTCAGTTCAGGTTCAACGGATTTTGTTCATTTTTGGTATGTGAATGAATAAGGGCTAGGGGTTTTGATATTTAAAAAAAAAATGTAAGTTAGGTAGGGGTTGGCAATTATATAGCATATAACGCAGATAACAAACAGTCTGTGGTGTGACACTCGTCTGGATTGTTTTACAAGATTTCATTGACAATATCTTTAATGCAAAATTGGTATTTCCTCTCCACCCTGCCGATAAAACGTCTATATTAGAGTAAAGTTTTACAAAACATGTCGGAACGCAGCATAACCTATTTATTTCAAATGCCATCGCTACAAAGCGGGTATAGCGCCATCTACGGTCACAAATTGTGATTCATTTTGGTTTATAAATTATTGCGATATACAGATGGCAATCGTTTCTATAATGTACGTCGATGGTTGCTCAATTAAAACTGACATCTTCTTACTCATTTGTGTCTTTTTTGTGGTGAGCTACAGTGTCATTGACACTTTCATTGATTTCCAAATTGAATTGTAGAAAAAAAATGATGCATAAAATTTAGATTGTTAACCATTGTTTCATTCAACCTAATAGAAACATAATTTGTGATTTTTCAGATCCAAATATCCCAAAGACATTTGAAAATGTGATTGAGCCAATAGAAAAGCTGTCATTTCCAATTTCTTACTGTTGGAATACTTTCAAGAACCTAAACTATGTCAAGAACAGTGAGGATATGACAAATGCTATGAAACTTGTAAGTTAATAATAATGTAATGCTTTACTAACATTCCTAAAATAAAAATAAAAAAGAGATTTATCATAACTTTAGAGAATTTAGCATTAATTATAGGTAGAGATATGATTCGCATGAGTGATTCTAATTTCTGATTATAATATTTGTCTTCACGATATTATAAAACTTATCAACATTTTGACTTTTCACGTGTGTAATCACTCATCTTGTTCATGCTGTCATCTGTTGTGCAGGTCCACCCCCTCATATTGAAGGCTAGGGTGAAGCGGTTTCAGAGCGTACCTATCTATAATGCAGTCAAGGTCAGTCAAGTAATTAGATGCAGTGCAGTTAGAGCATTAAAGCTGTGTGTTTACTATTATCTCGCTATAATAGTGCGTGTATTCACGTGATTGTGATTTGCTCAAATGTTACCTCTATTCTAAATGGTGTGTGAATTTTTTTAGCCACGTTGGAAAATATATCAGGCTAATTAGCCACAGTCATATATGCCATTATGTTTATGTAACATGGTTGGTGATTCATTGCTTTCCATTACTAGCCATGAACATGATGAATGTAAGATATTCCTGTAACCGCCATATGTGCTTTTATAACAATGATAGATGTGATAATAATTCTGAACATGGTGGAACATAGTACAATTATGGATGAGACTGTGGAGACAAATTCACTCTGCTTTTAGGAGCTGAGTGCCGATAAAGCAAACCTAAGTGAAGCGCAGGACAGAGTTGTGCAGAAGTACATACTGGAGTCAAAACTGAATGGTGTTGAACTCACTGGATACGATCAATATTACATGAACAATGTATTGCACAAGCTCGGTGAACAGAAGGAGAGATTCAGGTGCCGATGGAAAATTCCGGCGCTTAGCTGTAGATAGCCTTTTGCAGTTGCACCTGTTTCTACATTGAATGAAAATTTTTATACTACATTACTATTACATGTTTCTGTTACATGTTACATGTTACGATACAAAATTAATCGGTTCTGGTTATTCGTATGTCGAGGAAATCCTAATCACTACTTTTGTGAAAATTGTGATTGTTCCGGAATTGCTCTACTCATACAAGCCAAGCTCATGTTAACCCACTATAACGTTAATACATGTTACAGGACTTGTGTGCAGACAGCAACAAACAGGTTTAAACAAATTCTGTACGACAGAGAGGACATCATAGATATGCCCCAATCCTTGCTACGATATATTGCAGCAGACAGGTAGGATTCTAGCAGTGCCTACTTGAAGGGCAGCGTGTAATGGGAAACTAATTTAGGTGGCTAATTACATGATTAAGAGCACGAGCCGTTTCTAGGGTAGGGATAGGCATGATGAATCAAGGTGAATTGTTCACTAAAAACGTGCTGAACACAGTAGACACAAATGTTTGTTTTATATAGTTAGGGAGGTTGGTTATTAAAAAAAAATGATGTGATGTATACTGAAAGATATTAAAGGTAGATACTGGTTCTTGATCATTCTCATTGTATCATTTATAGCATCAGGCTATAATAAATTAAACTTTGTTACTGTAATGCATTCTTGGTGCAGCTTATTACAGTTTAAATTCTTGGAACTTTAATGTATACACTATGTCATACGAATTGACAAAGCATTATCCGGTTCTATTACACAGTATAAACTGTCTTGGAACCAGCTAAAATGATCAAGTTAGAACTCGAATATGCCTTACCAAATTTCTCCTTTAACAGCACGAAGCCAGAGAGGGGACCATGGGTTGTCACACTGCAGCCAACAGTATATCTGCCAGTCATGGAGTACTGCAGCAATAGAGATGTCCGAGAGAATGTCTGGTTCGCCAACCAGATGCGTGCCTCCTCACAGGATCAACAAATTAACAACAGTGCAACGATTCAAGAGATCCGCTTCCAAAAGTAAGTGAAGATCGCTTTTCACTTTCTATCTAGTCTGCTTCACTATCTGTTTCAATTGCAAGAGGTAGATTATCATTTGGTTTTTAATAGAGAATTACCAGAATTAAGATTTTAATCTGAATAACTGTTAATGAATGTAATTATCTAATGTGAGCAACCATGCATGCATGTCTTTTTAGTGCTTAGCTGCTGCTGCTTGGTTTTATTAATGCTATACAGTTGCTCATTCTTTTATATAAACATTTAAAAACATTTAGAAGAACGTTATTTCTTTTCGCAGGAGAGACCAAGCCAAGTTAGTTGGGTTTGATGACTATGCTCAGATGTCAATGGCAACGAAGATGGCTGGCAGTGTTGAAAATGTTCTCTCTATGATAGCAAGGTAATGGATCGTATACCAAAGTAATTTAAGTCACTAATCAACTGTGACAGCCTGAGGCCGCATTAGTATTTCTACTGAGTTGTGCAGCGCATTGAACTTTTTGGGCTCAAAAATAGATAACAGTGTCAATAATTTACAAAATTCCCTGATTAACTGACAGAGACGGAGCGTTTTTAATATCCGTGTCTTGTAATTTGCAACTTGCCGATCTTTGTTTCCGACGCGTGAAGTTTGAAGGTGCACAGCGAGGGCATGGCTGCAAATGAGCTGAGCAGCCTGCAGGAGTTTGCGAACGAGCGAGGTTTCGATGGGACGCTCGAGGCGTGGGACGTGCCGTACTGGCGGCGCAAGCAGAAGCACTCGCTGTTCCAGTAAGCGAACGCTGTTGTCATGGTCTTGCTGCGATAGTAAACCAATAATTCTAAATGCTATGATTCGCTCACTTCGGCAAAATGGAAATGGTTTAATGAAAATTAGTCACATATATATATATATAAATACATATATGTTAACGATGTTACTCCGTTTCCTCTACTAATTTTCACGTTTTGCAAATCCTTGTCAGTAACACATATAACTCATGGACGGTGAGGAGCTCGCAAGCTCATGTTGCCATATCTGTTACCAATGTACCGTCTTTAAATAAATAAATAAATAAATAAAAAATAAATATACGTTTCAGGATAAACGATGCTGAGCTGATGCAGTACTTTCCGATGGAGCATGTATTGAATGGACTTTTCAAGCTGTGCGGAGAACTTTTTGGCATTACGGTTAAGGCACGTCATTGCATTTTTCCCTTCTAATCCTAACGCTATCAGGTTTGTATATATGCACCACATGTGAATTAACTCGTGTGTATTTATGTGATATGCGAAACGTGTGAATAAACTTTCTTTTTTTTAAACTTTTTTTTAGCAAGCGGATGGTGCTGCTGAAGTTTGGGATAGTAGCGTGCGCTTCTTTAATGTCTATGATGAAGATGGTAAGTCCAAGTAACTGTCGGTATGCATAGAAAAGTATGCTCACTTTAAAATTTGTTCGTAAGAGTTTAAGACTGGTGTATTATGAAAAAATGTTGCGAGTGGAGATATGTTATATGTTGATGGTAAAATGCAGTGATGTATTCATAATATCTCAACAAAGATAAAAACTGAAATTTTTATCATGTTTTACAGGTACGCACTTATCATCCCTATACTTGGATCCATATTCCAGGCCTTTAGAGAAGATGGCTGGAGCTTGGGTAGAGTCTGGTAGAAGTGAGCATATGTAGTTGCCTTTATGTGTATTCAAAATTACTGAAATGACTAGTATCACTATGCAAGCTGTAGATTACCTGATGTGTGGCTACATGTTTACAGAAGAAGACATGCATGCATGGGGCCTGGAAAAGTGCATGATGCCTTCCTAAAGAGATATAAACATTTTCTCATTTTCGAATTGCTTTCTAAGTGTGTTGGACATTGGCCATGTATATTCGATTGAATAGTGCATTTAGGTTTCGAAGTTTTAGGTTACATTTGAAGTTTCGAATAGTGTGACATACGTGTTGTGGCTCGCTTGGCATTATCAGTTATCACTTGTTTCCTACCCAGGTCGCAGTGATGTTTGCAGTGCGTTTCCATTGGCCTATCTGAACTGCAATGTGGCTCCTCCAGTACTGGGTCAACCTGCACTAATGTCTTTCTCTGAAGTGAAAACGCTGTTTCATGAGGTAAGTCAAATTGGAGATGAATTTTAATATATAAAAAAATACGGGCCTCAACACACGGATTAGTCACACTCCCATATACATGGAGAGGGGGGGCTACTTAATTATAATTAAGTGCATTTTGTTAGAGTGTAGTATGAAACGTGGCATGTTTACTATATTTATATGGGCTATATATAGCATATATGCGATATCGTGTTGATTTGATCAAGTGCAGCCTCTACCACATGTGGACTTTATTAAGTGTGAGCAGCACTAGTTGTAAAACCCCAACCTGGTTTAGCATGAGCTCGTATGTAGCACTAGCAATAATTAGATATTTTCTCAGCTTGCAGTACCCCAGGCAGTATGAGAGGTAGAATTCAATACCCAGCACATGTAATTACTTCTTACACAGATGAATGTTACACACCATCACAAATTGATGGAGTCAGGATTTCCTTTCATCCAAACACCCTCACATGCTGCACACACGCACATACACATGCAAATACGAATGCACACACCCACATACCTGCCCACCTAGAGACCTAAACACAATCTTGCACATGTGCATGGACTTCCACTAACCTGATATATGCAGTGCCATAACATTTATTTATATAAGAAGAAAATCTTGTGAAAACGTGGTGACAAACACAGTATAAACATTATGTTTGTAATTCAGGTTTTTTCTTTGACGTTAATAACATTAAGTTGCGTGGTGGCCATATTAGCCTACGTGAAAGTAGTTTGGCTTCATCCACCTTGTAATGTTATCCATTCTCAGTTTGGTCACGCGCTGCAGCATTTACTGACTGGCATGCCATATAGCGACGTGGCTGGACTCGCTAACGTAGAATGGGATGCAGTGGAAATATGCTCAACATTCATGGAGAACTGGTTGTATGACAAGACCACTATGGGGTATATCAGCTGTCACGTTGACACTGGAGCTACGCTACCAGATGAGATGCTGAAAAATCTCATTCGAGGTATTTATCATTATACAAAATGTGTAATATTAACTAGTGATACGTATACTTTTTGCTATACATTAATACTGATTTCTTCATATTCACGATTCTGTTTCGTGTTTGTTCGGCAACTGCAATGCGTGTTCACATAGAATGTTATCGAATGTAACAATTTTTTTACGAGTGACCAATTTATTTCTCAGTTATAATTGGCTCTCCATGCTTGTATGCTTTCGCGTAATTATTGTTAGTAGCCTTGTGCTGGGGCCATTATAATCAACCATCTAACATTGCTATTTTGCTCAAGGCAGACTAGGGGTTTCATTACATGGACTTAATTGTATGAGAGAAAGTGCTGTTGGCTGAACCTTGATGAATATCACATATACAGCTTTGTCCATTTGTATGTTGTCCAGTAGTAAACAGCCAAATTCACCGAGCACTTTGTGCACGCGTAACATGAGCGCGTGTATAACTCATCACGTTATGCGATACATTTTTCCAGCCAGGAGGCACATGGCCGGACATGACATGATGTATCAGCTCTACCTGAGCGCTGTCGATATCGAATTATACACCAGGTGAGCGTCTGCTTGTAGTCGGATGTGATGAACCCGCCCATCTTCGCTACGTGCATCCCCTGTACCACACGTGCATATTAATGTGAACGTACCCATACGGCGTCAGTGTAGATATGCTCATGGTTCTAATGAAGGCACTTCCGTTAGTAGGCACTTCTCGTTCTAGAAGCTGCATAGCGTCGGATTAATAATTACTCGCCCGTGAGGGATTTTGTACGGAGTCCACCACGAGGGCAAATAAACAATCAGCTCATGATGCGAAGAAAAGTAATCACATTTTATTATGTAGTCGGGAAGTGTGCAAGCTTTGGGCAAGTCGAATGGTGTTCGTTTACGTAGCTATACGTACGTGGGCTATCATGCATGCACAACGCAACATGAACGGATGCACGCTCATGCACGCACAACGCTAGTTGCGTATTAGTCAATGTATGATTTTGTGCCGCTACTTTCTTTGTCATCTTGATATTCGTCCTATCGTTAATTAATTCACCCTACCTTTATTTGTCATACACACTGGAAGCAAGACCTATTAGTGTAACTTTTACGTTCACCTAAAACAACCGCAGCATCTCGCGCTGTCGAAATCTGTCGTCGGAATTTCCCTAGACAAATCGGCTACCGTTTGCGTCGAAACATTAGGCATGATTTTTAAGTAAAGGTTTTAATAATATTCGTTTTTGCTACTTTCGCTAGAAAAGACTTCTGGTTGGAAACACAGCGAGAGACATGGGCCAAGTACATGCTGCTGACGATGCACAAGAAAGATGCGCATCTCTGCTCCTTCACACAAATCTTCGCAGGAGAATATCCGGCTGCCTACTACTCCTATAAATGGTCAGAGGTGCGTGTGTATGCTACGTATGTACATGTCTATTGTCTATATGTCTAGTGGAGACACCACTGATCATTCTGTGTGGTTTGAAAATCAATGTGTATTCAACCTAACTAACCCTAGCTGTAAACAAATTTTTATTGCATGCAAGATTAAAGTGTAAAATGTAAAGGTATACGCATAAACACAGAATACTAGTGATCAGAAGAGATGTCTATGTACGCTGCCTTGGATTTGTAATTGGATTTATCGTAGTTAGTGTTTGTATGAATCGTCTTGGTAGCCAGAAGTTGATACTGCTACGAGAATGGTCCTGATTTCCCATATAGGTTACGCATAACTTGGCGCATAATTTACAGTGTGTGTCATTATTTTCATATAGATGATGTCAGCCGATGTATTCAGTGCATTTGAGGAGGCAGGTCTAGACAACAGAGCTCAAGTACAAGCTGTCGGTCGAAGGTGAATTATTCATATATACACGTATACGCACGCACGCACGCACACATGCACGCACGCACGCACGCACGCACGCACGCACGCACACAAACGCACACATATTCAGTTATATATTTATTTATTTATATATTTATGTATATACCAAGTATCAATTTACAGATAGAAAGGCTTGGAAATAATTCACTTGACAATTCCCTGCCCCTGGAACGAATACCCATCGCTAATCTTTACCTTTATTAGTAATTTAGTACGATTTAAGTCTTGGTGATATCATATGTGGTATATGTAGTAGTAGTTTTTAGGATAGTGGTGTATTGCGAGCACGTCTCCACCCACATCGTCTCTATACCCTGCAGTTAATTAAGACACCATCTAAAAGATCATCACCCGAAATACAACGCTGTCTTTAAATGCTGCCGATTATGAAAATGTAGGCCCGTGGCAGGCAGTGGAGCCGATAGCAGTCACGCCGATGTTGCAGTGTAGTACACGGCCGACCCTGTGTCACAATTTGTGTCTCACGTCTTGCCTCTCTCTCTCTTGCGCGTGCGCAGGTTCCGAGACACGTTTCTGCACCTCAGCGGCGGCTGCCATCCCGGCGAGGTGTTTCGTAGATTCCGTGGAAGAGATCCGTCGCCAGACGCCCTGCTGAAGACACTTGAGCTCAGCTAGGGCACTCCGCTGTGCCGCAGGGCTGCAGACTGTAATGCACTGCACTGTTATTCGTGCTAGGAGGAAAGGAGGGAGGGAATGGGAGGCGAGAAGCAAAGAAAGGAGCGAGAGCATGAGAAGGAGAGAGGAGAGAGAGAGAGAGAGAGAGACAGAGAAATTAATGTTCAAATTATGTCAAATTCAAGCAATGAAGCAAAATTGTAGATGTTACCGCTACTGCTAAGCAATAGCTATAGTCATGATCTGGTTGCTGAGTTATTCTGCACTAGTTGATACTTGTCGGTTGTCAGATTCAGAAGTTGACGCTAGAACAGTCCAACCCACTATTTAGTTGATAAAGTTTGTTGTGTGTAAGGTGTTGTTGTCTAACAATAACTATACATTGAGAGTTCCTCGAATAGCGAGAAATTATAGATTTAAATAAAGTTATTATTATAATATGAATTTTTATTGCTTTGGTGTTATTGTAACCTTGATTATTAGGACGATTATTGCCACAATTTTTTTCAACCATAAATTTCAAACACGTGTCTTAGCTGACAATAGTGGTTGTTTGTGTTTGTGTATTTGTTCATGTATTCCCGGCTTCTCATAGGATACTGCAATTATGTGTGTCATTGTCAATATATATATATATATATATATATATACACCGTTAATTGTAGCTACGCCGGTTGGCGCCGGTCAGTAATAGCCGGCTCTGGTGTTGGCTGACCAGCACCCAGCTTTAAATAACATCCTTCCGACCGGCACAAAAATGATGGAGTTTGTGTAAAATTACCTTCAAAATAGTGAGCAATCTACAAATAATCACAACTGATACACTTAGAATCAATTTAAAAAACAACTACTGTATACGCCATATTTTTTGCGTACAGGTATTTTCGCGAGTTCAGACTTAACGGACAATTTCGCGAGTGGTTAATTTCGCGGTTGCTAAATTATGAATTATTCGCGTGTTGTTATTTTCGCGTCGGGGAAGCGTTCGCGAAATTCGCATAAACTTATAACGCATAAACCATCGCGAAATATACAGCTTTGATACAGTATTTGATTCAATTAAGCGACCCACCATGGGCCCTTCGCCTGGACCCCCGGTCGTGAACCGCTGCGCTCCGTTCGCTCCTCTCACTACGCTCGCAATCACTGATATTAGCTGCCACTAAAATTGTCCTGGCTACAACCCTGTATATATATATATATATATATATATATATATACTAGCAGGACACCCGGCGTTGCCCAGGAAATAAAGCGCTCGGTTGGCGACCACTTGGTTAAAAAAAATACCCCAAAATACATCTATCTATCTATCTATCTATCTATCTATCTATCTATCTATTTATCAATCAATCTATTTATCTATTTTATCCATCTATCTATCTATCTATCTATCTATCTATTTATCAATCAATCTATTTATTTATTTATCTATCTATTTATCCATCTATCTAGCCATCTATCTATCTATCTATCTATCTATCTATCTATCTATCTAACCTATCGAAAATAGTCTGCACACTGTATCAAGTCAGTGTGAGGTGAATATTGATACGACCATGACATGGTGCATGTATAGTAACGCAATGTAACGCGTCAGGTGCAACAAGTCGGTGCAAAGTGAATCCCGTTTATTTAATGCTGCTGCAGGGGCCCGTTTATTTAGTGTTGCTGCAGGGGCGCGTTTATTTAATAGCCGCGTTCCCACGGAGCAATTTGACCCGGGGTAAAAATTTGAAGCGCTCCACGTGCTTAATTTATATTATCAAACAAATCTCAATTGGGACAATTATTTCAAAAGCTATTTGCAAAATGGAAGTATACCATGTGAAACAGATATTTGAGCACACGATACCTGGAACCTTCTACAACGGATACGTCGTGCTTAGTTAATGAAGGCATACGCAGAAGTAACTATATATATACTACACGCATGGTCTCTTTGTACGTTTCTATGGTGACGCGTGCACGGCGTACCTGGAGAACCAAGTTGATAGCAACTCAAACAAAGATATTGCACCGCACTTAACTTAATAACCAGACTTAGTAAATTCGGCGACGCGCAACGTTAAATACAAAGCAATATTGTTTGTCGTTGTCATTAGGTAGAGTATATCTGCGATGACGTCAGCAGAAGGACGGTTTGGCGTGGGAGGCCGGCCCACGTATCGGCTGTCGCGCATGCATGCGCGATGCAGTCGTCGGCACGTGTGATGCTGATGGAAATGCCAACGAAGATTGATAAGAAATCGTACTGAATGCGCCACGCGCCATGTGTGCGTCGTCTCACGATTAGCTCGGCACTACAATTTCCGTCACGAACTTATACGTGTATATCTGCGCAGCAGTGACAGCCGTAACAGTAGCAGCAATTACAACAACAGCAGCGGCAGCAACAGTAACTGCAGCGGCGGTGGCAGCAGAAGTAACAGTGGCGGCGGTGGCAGCAGCAGTAATAGCGGCGGCGGCATCAGCAACAGCAACCGCAGCAGCAGCAACAGCGGCGGCATCAGCAACAGCAACAACAGCCAGCAGCAAGAACAGCAGTTGCAGCAACAGCAAGAGCAGCAACCACAACAACAACAACAACAACAAACAACGGCAACAAACGCACTAACAACGTTAACAACAACAACAGTAGTAAATGTAACAGAATCAGCAGCAATAACAACGTCCGCGACAGCACTACCACAAATAGCATCATCATCATCATCATCATCATTATCATCATCATCATTATCGGCAGTTGTAGCAACAGCAGCAACAACAACAACAACACCAACAATAACAGCAGCAGCAGTAGCCACAGCAGTAGCCGTATTATCATCATAATCCTTATCATCAGCTTCAGCAGCAGCAGCAGCAGCAGCAGCAGCAGCAGCAGCAGCAGCAGCAGCAGCAGCAGCAGTCGTCGTGGTAGTAGTAGTAGTAGTAGTAGTAGTAGTAGTAGTAGTAGTAGTAGTAGTAGTAGTAGTGGCGGTGGTGGTATAGTAGTCGCAGCGGCAGCAGCAGTAGCAGTAGCAGCAGTAGCAGCAGCAGCAGCAGCAGCAGCAGCAGCAGCAACAACAGCAGCAGCAGCAGTAGTAGTAGTAGTCGTAGTAGCAGTAGCAGCAGCAGCAGCAGCAGCAGCAGCAGTAGCAGTAGCAGTAGCAGTAGCAGCATTATCATCATCGGCAGCAGCAGCAGAACCACCGCCACCACTAGCCGCAGCAGGAGCAGTAGTACCAACAACAACAACAACAACAACAACAACAACAACAACAACAACAACAACAACAACAACAACAACAACAACAACAACAACGACGACAGCAACAACAACAACAACAGTAGCAGCACCACCAGCACTAGCAGCACCAAGAGCAGCAACCGCACAACCATCACCAGCAGCAGCAGCAACAGCAGCAACAGAAATCGCAGAAGGATCGAAACTCACGGCGGCGTTCATCTGCACGTAATCACTGTCGCTCGTGTGCACGATGCGTGATCACGCGGCTGTCGTGCTGCTTGTCGCCGTGAGCTGCCTCACGCTGATGGTCGGACCCGTGATGATGACGGCAGCGGTGAGTGTCGCTGCACGCCCAAGCACGGCAGCAAGCATCCCGCTCGCCCAGCATCGTCAACATCATCGTCAGCATCATCGTCACTCGCAGGTCCGCATCGCCGACGCACTTATACGGCCATCGATGGTACGACAGTACACGCATCTACATTCATAGTTGTAGCTATTTAGCGTGGTAGATTCTACGTAATCTGCCGGTGAGTCGCTATTTGCCGGCTTCTATGTCATATCAGTCGCTCTTCTATTTCGCGTTGGTGTTATCGTTATTTAACATGATCTGGCCAGTGTACGCTATGAAACGTGCACTGCGTACGATTGTTTTTGGATGTCTTGTGCTTGCTAGCGTATGCATGCACGCACGTACGCAAACAACGAGCGATAAAAATGTGTAAAGCGCGGGGAAGGAGAGCAGATGCAAACGAGAGACAGGAGGAGAGAGAAGTAACGAACGAGAGAGAGAGAGAGAGAGAGAGAGAGATCAGGAGGGAGAGAGAGAAGAGAAAATGGGGGAAAGAGAGACACAGCCATAAAGAGAAAGAGAGGGATATAGTATATATATAATATAATTATATATACTATACTATCAATCGGCTGATAGATTACATAGAGTAGGCTAGATAGATAGGCTGGATGGGATATGGATGGGGATGGGATGGATGGGATGGGAGTGGGATGGATGGGATGGATGGTGATTGGGAGTGGGATGGGATGGATGTGGATGGATGGGATGGGATGGGATGGGATTGGGAATGGGAGGGATGAGGGTGGGTGGGATGGAGATGGGATGGGATGCGACGATGCGGATGGGGATGGGATGGGAATGCCGGAGGGATGGGGGATGGGATGGGATGGGATGGGATGGATGGATGGATGGAGGATGGATGGATGGATGGATGGATGGGATGGATGGATGGATGCGATGGAATGGCATGCGAGGTTGGATGGTTGATGGGATGGGATGGAGGGATGGATGGATGGATCGGGATGGGATGGATGGGATGTGATGGGATGGAATGGGATGGATGGGATGCCATGGGATGGGATGGGCTGGGATTGGGATGGATGGATGGGATGGATGGAATGGATGGGATGGATGGGATGGATGGGATGGATGGATGGGATGGAGATGGAGAGATGGAGAGATGGATAGATAGATAGATAGATAGATAGATAGATAGATAGATAGATAGATAGATAGATAGATAGATAGATAGATAGATAGATAGATAGATAGATAGATAGATAGATAGATAGATAAAGGATGGCTAGAGGAATAGAGAGCGTGGGAGAGGGGAAAGATTTGGCGGTTAACTATCCATCTATACAGGAGCAGAGTGAGAAGCCCGCTTCCTTGCATCTCCCGTCAGTCGACGTAAACAGCGTATACCGGACGCTGTTCTCACCGCGTATACTGGACATGCTAGACGCTGAAGAACTGTCGGAGAGCACCGACGCAGTGACGTCATCGCCGCCGCGGCAAAATGTCGCCATGCTACCGAGTAACGACCGCTCGAGCATCATGCTGCTGAGAGACGTAAGTGTTTGTGAGCTGTAAGTGTCTGTGGGATGTATGTGTCTGTGAGATGTAAGTGTCTGTTAGATGTAAGTGTCCGTGGGATGTATGTGTCTGCGAGATGTAAGTGTCTGTGGGATGTATGTGGCTGTGAGATGTAAGTGTTCTGTAGTGGTGTCTGTGAGATGTAGTGTCTGATTATATGTTAAGTGTCTGTGGGAGTGTTATGGTGGTCTGCGGAGCGATGTTAGTGTTCTGTAGAGATGTAGTGTCTGTTAGATGTAAGTGTCTGTGGGATGTATGTGTCTGTGAGATGTAAGTGTCTGTGAGATGTAAGTGTCTGTGAGATGTAAGTGTCTGTGAGATGTAAGTGTCTGTGAGTATTGGTTAAGTGTCTCTGAGATGTTAAGGTGTCTGTGAGATGTCTCAAGGGTCTGTGGCGATGTTAGAGTGTCTGTGAGATGTAAGTGTCTGTTAGATGTAAGTGTCTGTGGGATGTATGTGTCTGTGAGATGTAAGTGTCTGTGGGATGTAAGTGTTTGTGAGATGTAAGTGTCTGTGGGATGTAAGTGTCTGTGAGATGTAAGTGTCTGTGAGATGTAGAGTGTCTTGCTGAATGTATAGTGTCTGGTGGAATGTAAGTGTCTGTGGATGTTTAAGTGTCTGTGAGATGTAAGTGTCTGTGAGATGTAAGTGTCTGTGAGATGTAACTGTCTGTGAGATGTAACTGTCTGTGAGATGTAAGTGTCTGTGAGATGTAAGTGTCTGTTAGTGTCAGGGTCTCCGCTGAGAGATGTGAGTGGCAGGGCCTTTCTTGAGAGACGTTATGAAAGATATGCTTCTAAGAAGATAGAGGATAGAGACATACAAGGCGAGAGAGTCAGCGCGCGCGAGAAAGAGAGAGATAGAGAAAGAGAAGAGAGAGAGAGAGATTGAGAGATGAGAGAGAGAGAGACGACGAGAGAGAGGAAGAGAGAGAAAGAGCAACGGAAAAATCAAATATATATATATATATATATATATATATTATATATATATATATATATATTAGCGGATACCCGGCGTTGCCCCGGGGAAATTCAGTGCGTTACTCAGTGGGTGACCGCTTCTGGGTTGGAAAAGAAATTGCCCAAAAAACCTATCTATTCTATCTCTTCTTCTTAAAAAAATAATATAGTAAATCAAAAGTATAAAAGAGACATTAAAAAACTTAAAAATAATAATAAGATTAAAAATAATAAAATAAATAATAACAACAAAGATGGTAGGTAAAGGGGAAAAATGAAAAATTGGGAGAAATTGAAAAAAAGGGAAAAATAAGTTCCCCACTGGTGACGTACGAATTCGGAATCCCGGTGTAGGAGACGATGTTCTAGCGATACGCCACTGCGCCGTTAAGGGTATGCATCCATGGATTCACACGTACGTGATCCTGTTAAATCTGTTATTCGCACACGCATTCTATTGATGAATAAAACTTTTATCAATTTTTAACTTTTTAACTTTGTAAAATTTGTTTTCGTCTAGGAACACTCCCCGGGTATAGGAATTCGCCCTCTGAAAATTGCATCCAGATCGCTTCGCGGTTTGGCCGGGCATACATACGAACTGAAATATAGATTAGATATATAATTAGGTGAATCAAAGCAGATCATAGACAGAGTAGTATAGATGCGCAGATGATGAATACGAAAATGATTTTTGTGAAATTGTTACATTAGCGGTTAAAGTGGAATTCCGTAGCTGAGGCGGCCCCAACATAATAACTGCGTAGGTGTGGTGAAACAAATTTGAAACTAAACTTTTGATTGAGTTCTCGATGCATTGGATAGTAGCTGCATGTTATAGGTGAGAATATAAGACAATTTGACATATAACCCCGTTATTCTCTTCGTTCCCCCGTGACTCTCTCTCGTTCATTGTGAGCGGCTTTAACTAACCTCTTTTCTTAACAGCTCTTGCCGCCGATTTTCTTAGAAGGAGGCAGCCCCTTTTCTGTGTCTGATCACGTTAATCACCGATTTGCATCAAAGTAAATAAGTACTTGCTCCAGCTAGATGCAGACTAATCGAATGAGGTTGGCGAGACGAAGCGAACAAATGAAATCAAATCTGTTGAATAGACATAATGTAATATAGTATAACGCCATTGTGTATCTCTGTAGGAAGAAAGGAAGAAAGTGCTCTCGTTCTCTCGCTTATCGAAAGATTCGAACAGGATATTGGCGTCGCTGTTCTCACCACACATACTCGACAGACTGAACGTGGGAATGAACGTGAAAGTAGCGACGACAGCGCCGCCGCCGCTTCAACAGGATGGTCCGCTCGTACCGGAAGTGCCTGGTCCCGACCAAGCCATAGCTACGAAACACGCGGACGGGGATAATAGAGAAATGATGAATTTGTTACGGTAGGATGAGATGCCGATAACTGTATAGTCGAGAACTTTTAGCGCTTTCGCGTAAGACGAAAGAATTACGCAATTAGTTCATGGATTTTAGATGCTAGAGATACTAATTAAGATTTTTGAACTTCTTTATATTTAAAAGTTCTGTCTCTGTGTGTCTTTATAAAGGAGAGAAACGGCAGCAGTTTTTTAATCTCGCGATTGTTTTGCCAAAATACACATAGGCCCCTACGTATATTACGTAATTAAGACTTCTGGTGCCAACGCAATGGAATGTTAAGTTATTCGGATAAAGAACCTTTAAAACATTTAAACTTAACATTTGAACGACGAGTTAAAATCTAATGTATAAATATAGTTAAAAGTCCCGTTAGGGTATACAGTAAAAAATAGTACTATTAAAAATCATGTCGTAAACGCAACGTTAATAAAATTAATTCACATTTAATTCACATCTATTCGCATATACAAATGGTTTTCTCGTGAAAATATTTTGATGTTTGATGATACCTACTTCTTCGTATTTTATCATAGAGCAAATAAACTAGACGGCGAAATCGTCCGTAAAAGTTAGCGACCGCGTGGCTATCACCGGCTACCTTTCACCTCACTCAACGCTGCGTGCAACGGAAATCGAGCCTAGATACATTAGAAATATTTGCTCGCTGTCGTGTCTTGCTTGTGGAAATAGTGAATCGTATCTGCGTCAAAGATGGCGGACTGGTTGAAGTTCAAAGCGTTATTGAGTACAATCCCGAGAGCAGACTGATCGTACCGGTGGCAGCAGTAATTCGCCGTGTTCTCATTCTTTAGATTACATCCTCCTAGTTTAGCACCTGTGTGGGTGAAGCGGAGCGAGAGGTCAGCGTGTGTCAGGAAAAGACTCACCATGATCTTAATGAAACGCCCACGCATGGCCGAGCCCCCCGTGGATGATGAGTATCAGCGAAGACAACTGTAAAGTGAATGGCTAAGATGACACGCACATAAAAGCTTTGGTATACCTACCGGGTGGCGATATGCAATCTCTGTGCAGAGCGCACACTAGCCAAGGTAGAAACACCGCGTTGTATGTCCATCGATTGTTGTGCACCAAGACAGAACCGCCTTGAATAAAGCAGCAGCAGATGAAGTGGAAGCCAACGTTAAGCAGAATTGTATTTGGAAATATGATAGGGCGTGCGCGTGCGCGTGCGTGCGCGCGTGCGTGCGTGCGTGCGTGCGTACGTGGATGCATGCCTGTTCTGCTTGCATCTATGACAAATACGACATACGCATATACGCTCTCCTATGACGCTCCATATACGCTCTCCTATTATAGGAAGATTCTTCCTATAACAAATATTGGCGAGTCAACTTCGTTCCGCTTTACAGCTGAAATTCACTGCTTGCGTTCATAATAGCGCTCTTAAACTCCTATGATGCGCACAACACATACAACAATATTTGTCATAGGAAGAATCTTCCTATGACAAATAGTGTCATAGGAGAGCGTATTTGTCATAGATGCTAGCAGAACAGGCTGGTCTTTACGGTATGCGTACGTGATTGTGGGTGTCTAGGTTATAGCGCATTGTTTTTTGTTTCAACACACGCGCGCGCGCACGCACACACACACACACACACACACACACACACACGCACACACGCACACACGCACACACGCACACACGCACACCCGCACACATGCACACATGCACGCACACACGCACACACGTACACACACACGCGCGCACGCACACGCACACACACACACACTCGCACGCGCACGCGCGCGATATATATATATATCAAGAGCTAATAATACCTATTAAGGTATTATTAGCTCTTGATATATATGGGTATATATTCCTACGCTATCGAAGGAGCAATTACGTACCTGCCGGTGACCTCAGCCCCACAAAATCATCTGCTTTTGCTCGGAAAAAATCGTACATTGCTGGGTGAACAAAACACGCCATCTTCCAGCGGTTGCGCCAAACTGCGATGCCACTGCCCTCTATGGTGTGTCGGAACAGTGCATCAACGGTAGCCTTGGTTGTGCCCCATTTGAATCGCCATGATGCATCCATCCAGAAAACGTATCCGAACTCCTGCAGAGCCTCCTGAATGATTTAATGGCGGCACACTAGAAATCACACCCGCGCGGTTTAACAAGAGCAAGCATTGCGTCCTAAGACGCAATTGATGACGATAGCGAAGGGCGTATCTAAAAAACAAGTGTAACGGATATTGAACAAAAATGTCTGCCACTGATATCGGATACTGACAGTAACACGATACACTGTACTAGCCATCGATTGCATTGTCAATAGAATAAACACATAAATTTAGTTTCAGTGAAGAAATCCGTACTAGGACATAGAAAATGAGAGACCTATAGGGCTGCACGAGAGATTTTCTCTCTGTATGAGCGCGCGCGGCCTACCTGTATAACAGCAGGCTTGAAGGCGTAGTTATGTAGCTCTCGCACGTGGTCCGGGTAGTTCTCGTAGTGAAAACGCCGATACAGGCACCTACAGTGTTTCTTCATCTAGACCGAGAACGGGAATATAAACGCGATTACTCGTGTAACCTCGTGTATCCTCGTGTAATCTAGTGTATCCTCGTGTAACCTTGTTTAACGACCTTAAACGACACACACACATACGCGCGGAGATAATGGAAGATGTAAAAATAAAAAGAATTTTTTTAAACATTACAAGTGGGGAGATTAAGCCAGTGAGAAAAAAAAGAGAGGGTGTATGTGAGAGGAAGAAGCAGTGGGTGCGATAGAGTGTGAGTAAGAGAAAAAGAGAGGGAGAAAGAGAGAAAGCGAGAGAGAGAAGGAGCGATAAAAAAGGGATAGTGAGATAGCGAGAGAGAAAAAAAAAGAGAGAGAGAGAGAGAGAGAGAGAGAGCCGTACGTACGTTCACACGTACAGATCCAGCGTGCTATCACTGCTGCTGTATAAACACGAATGAATCGCTGCTTACGCAAACCGTATAATGGCACCACCAGGGATAGCACCGCTTCGACTAGGGAATTAAGTCATTAATTACTGACGAATACAGAGAGACGCACGAACACCTGGTGCGAGATCACCGATGGCAAACTGCGCTGCGATTATGACCGCCCACATTCACCACTCCATCGAGCGGAGAGGGAGGCAGAGAGAATATAGAGAGTATAAATGAGAGGGAGAGCGGAACGAGAGAGGCAAAAGGAGGCGAGAACGCGAAATGAAAAAAGCGCGAATATGAAATCGGGTGGGCGAGAGAGAGAGCGAGAGAAAGAGATAGAGAGAGAGAGAGAGAGAGAGAGAGAGAGAGAGAGAGAGAGAGAGAGAGAGAGAGAGAGAGAGAGAGAGAGAGAGAGAGAGAGAGAGAGAGAGAGAGAGAGAGAGAGAGAGAGAGAGAGAGAGAGAGAGAGAGAGAGAGAGAGAGAGAGAGAGAGAGAGAGAGAGAGAGAGAGAGAGAGAGAGAGAGAGAGAGAGAGAGAGAGAGAGAGAGAGAGAGAGAGAGAGAGAGAGAGAGAGAGAGAGCGAGCGAGAG